GGTTGACAAATATCTATATTCCGCTTAGGATCAGATGTATATTATATCCATATACGTGGTAAATGCCATCATGGCTGTGTTAACGAGAAATGCACGAATGTTTTGTTTCAAGGAAGCAGCTGCATTGTTGCCTAGATAGAGCAAGCATGAGCTCACTTCCATACAAACACGCGTTTCTATATACATATACACGCACTCGTACACAACGCATACACGCACAGACACAAGACGCACATAAACCATAAAAAAACTACTTCTCCTAACGCACAAACACCCAAGGCCTATAGAAGTATAGACTTATTTAGACCTTGCAAACACCCACCCTATTCCCCACCTCTCGCATGTACGCAGTCTACTTCATCCTCGCCCTCGTTCTCTCTGCAGGACATGAGTGACAGCGAGGAGAGCCTGAAGGGGGAGGCGGTCCCGGAGGAGCAGGTGGAGACGCTGCAGGTGCCACGGGAGGACGTGAAGGAGGCCAAGGCGGTGCCAGTGTCCAGCCGCCTGCTCAGGATGATGGATGATTTCAGGTAATATACATACATTTTTTTCATATCATCATATATTTGTCTATTGGTTGATTGATTGATAAATTTGCGTAATGTTTATTTGTCGTTTTTTTTTTTTGGGGGGGGGAGGTTGGGGGAATAGTGATTCGTAGACAAAGATTTTTTTCTCTCTTTTTTTTTTCTTTTACTCTTCTCCTGTGTTTTCTTCTAGTTTGATCTGTGTAATATTTTTTCAGTCTGCTGGTACGTTTCTTTTACTGGTGATGATACTAAAAATGATAATAGATGATATTGATGATAATGATGTTGATAATAATAATTGTAGTAGTATTAGTAGTAGTAATGATAATAATAATAATTATTATAATATCAATAATGATGATAATGGTATGATAACAGTAATGGTAATGGATGATAACAATGATAATAACAACAACACTAGCAATAGTTATTTTCTTAATCATTCTCATTCTCACCAGCATCATTATCACTATCTATCGTAAAATAATGATAATGATATTATAATGATTATGATAATTAATAATAATAATATAATAATAATGATTATAATGATAATGATAATAATGATGATGATGATAATAATAATAATGATTAAGATAATAATGATGATGATGATGATGATGATGATGATAATAATAATTTTAATAACAATAATTATGATGATGATGACGGTAACATGATAGTAACATTAATGATAATTATGATACTACTACCTGATATTAATGATGATGGTAACAGTAATGATAGTATGTATAATAATAGTGATAGTGATATAGTTATGAAAAATATGATACTGTTGATGATGATGATGATGACAATGCTAACAGCAACAGCAATCATAGTAATGATATAATTCGTCAGTTAGTCAAACATATGTCAGTCATACAGGTGTCAGTCAGCCGTCAGTCAGTCAGTCGAAAACGTGTCAGGCAGACGGAAGCACTTCACACTCGTCCGATTGCTTGAACTCCTGACTTGGCTTCCGATTTCACAAAAGAGACGGAAGTACGACAAATATACGAATGAAAATAAATGATGTCACGTGTAACTGTAGTCCAGTTTGAAGCTGCCACGTGTAATATCACTTGATCTGTGATATTACTCTTTTTTATTCCATATTTGTCTCAATGAACTCTATGTTTGAGGAAGTCCTCCGTTCCAATTGTTTCCTTGCGGTTGGCCTGTGACGTCACTGGGTGTTTGTGTGAGAACCTATGGAGGGAATCGTTTGTTTGATTTTTTTTTTTTTATGTGTATTTTGATTATATGTTTCTTATTCGCCGTTCTCTCTCGGTCTATCTCTCTCTCTCTTTATCTATCTATCTATTTCTCTCTCTCTCTATCTATCTATCTATCTATCTCGGGCCACCCCCTCTTGCTCTTACTCTATCTATTTATCTCTCTCTCTATCTATTTAAATATATGTATTTATCTCTCTCTCTCTCTCTCTCTCTCTCTCTCTCTCTCTCTCTCTCTCTTCTCTCTCTCTCTCTCTCTCTCTCTCTCTCTCTTCTCTCTCTTCTCTCTCTCTCTCTCTCTCTCTCTCTCTCTCTCTCTTCTATCTCTCTCTCTCTCTCTCTCTCTCTCTCTCTCTCTCTCTCTCTCTCTCTCTCTCTCTCTCTCTCTCTCTCTCTCTCTCTCTCTCTCTCTCTCTCTTTCGGCCCACCCCCTCTCTCTTTGTCTTTTTCTCTCTTTTTGTGCCTATCTCTCTCTCTCTCTCTCTCTCTCTCTCTCTCTCTCTCTCTCTCTCTCTCTTCTCTCTCTCTCTCTCTCTCTCTCTCTCTCTCTCTCTCTCTCTCTCTCTCTCTCTCTCTCCACCCCTTCTCTGTCTTTCTCTTTTTCTTTCTTATTTTTAGTCTCTTCGTTCCTGGCATCCGACATTTTGCTTCCCTCTCTTTTTTTTCTTTTTCTTTTTCCTTTTTCCTTCTCAACTTTTGGTATAATACATAGTAATAATAAAAGTAATAACAGTAATGATAATGAGGATAAAGATGATGATCACGGTTATAATAATAATGACAATATGAATTGAATAGTAATAATACTAATAATCATAATAATGATAATGGTATTAAAGATGATGATGATAACAGTAATAACAATGATAATGATAAGAATAATAATGATAATGATAATCATAATTATAAAGATAATGATAAGGATGATAATGACAGTGATAATTATAGTGATAATGATGATGATAATGATAGGAATTAATTAAAATGATAATAATGATATTTATGGTATTGTTAATAATAATGATAATGAAAATAATAATGATGTTCATAATGATAATAATAATGATGATAATGATAATACCCTGAAATAGAAGACTAGTAATGATGATGGTTGTAGTAAGGATGATAATGAAAATAATAAATTTGATAAGGATGATAAAGATGACAGTAATAGTAGTGCTACTATTACTACTACTACTGTTACTATTCTTCCTCCTCCTCCTCTTACTACTACTACTACCACTAATGATAATAATGATAATAATAGAAGAATCAAAAAGAGACATTCCGAGCATTCCCTACACAACACGTCCTACCAGTACTGCCATAAACTCGGCGGTTGAACAGGACCCTAAACAAACAGTACCTTGTCCTCGACTCTCCTCTCGTGGTTTTGGCATCACTGGTCGCGCCTTCTATTCGCCAGCCGTGCTTGAATTGATAACGGCGAATTCAACCGCTTGATTGTGTCTGGTTGGGATTTGCTTGGGTTGAGGGACGGGTGGAAGGTTGGGTGTGGTGTGGGTGGGTGGGTGTGTAGGGGTGTGGGTGTCGGTGGGTGGGTGTATGTGGGGTGTGGGGTGTGGGGGGGGGGGTTGAGGGGTGGTGGGTGTCGGTGTGGTGGGTGGGTGTGGGTCTGTGTGGGTGTGGAGGGGTATGGTGTCGGTATGGATGTGGAGGGGTGTGGGTGACGGTGGTGGGTGGGTGTGGATCTTTGTGGGTGTCGGTGGGTGGGTGTGTGTGTGATATTGAGCATTTTCCCAGTGATATTAGTTTGTGATTCAGCGGGTTTGAGGGCCATATTTAGTAGATTTAACATAGTTTTGATGTATCTGTTGGTTTATCTGTGTGTGTGTGAGAGAGAGAGAGAGAGAAGCACAAATTTATAGAGAGAGAGAGCGAGAAAGAGAGAATATGTGTATGTGTGTGTATGTATGCAGGTGTGTGTGTTTGTGAATGTGTATACCTATTGCCAACCGCCTCTGATCTACGTTTCCGTCTCCCCCGCCACCCCCAGGGCCGGAGGAAGCAGCCGAATGTGGTGGGCTGTGTTCTGGGTGTTCGTGGCGGCCGGTGTGGGCTCGAGGCTGCACTTCATCACAATGCCTTACAAAGTCGTGTAAGTATTTCCCGGTATTTCCTTTGTTTTTTCTGTTTATTTTCTTATATGAAGCTGTCCTTTCGGAAGTGAGAGAGATGAAGAAAAAGGGAAATAAAGAGGAAATAGGTTGATTATTCCACTTTTAACGACCTCCAGGTGGGACGAGGCGCACTTCGGCAAGATGGTCAGCTGGTATATCAACAGAACCTTCTTCTTCGACGTTCATCCTGTGGGAGGCAAGGTAGAGCCACATCCTTACGCAATGTGTTTATTAGTGTAAACAGATACATACGTACATGCATGCACACATACATATATACATACATACATATATATATACATATATATACATACATACATATGCATGTGTGTACGTGTGTGTGTGTGTGTGTAGTATATATATATATATATATATATATATATATATATATATATATATATATATATATATGTATGTGTGTGTGTGTGTGTGTGTGTGTGTGTGTGTGTGTGTGTGTGTGTGTGTGTGTGTGTGTGTGTGTGTGTGTGTGTGTGTGTGTGTGTGTGTGTGTGTGTGTGTGTGTGTGTGTGTGTGTGTGTGTGTGTGTGTGTGTGTGTGTGTGTTTATATATATATATATATATATATATATATATATATATATATACATGCACACACACATACACATACATACACATATACATACATACATAGACAGGGTGATAGACAGGTACAATACAGATGTGTGTGCAACAGGAACAACGAAGGGAAGGTCAAGAAAACACACGAATATGCCGAAGGCCTTTTAGCTATTGCTTCGTCAGGGCATACATGCCCTGACGAAGCAACAGCGAAATGGCCTTCGGCATATTCGTGTTCCTGTTGCAATCTGTTCATCATGAATTTCACACAGTGTGTGTGTGTGTGTGTGTGTGTGTGTGTGTGTGTGTGTGTGTGTGTGTGTGTGTGTGTGTGTTGTGTGTGTGTGTGTGTGTGTGTGTGTGTGTGTGAAGAGAATAGGGAGAAACAGACAGATAAACAAACAAACAGACAACCTTTCCCATAATTTTAAGTTTCAACGCATCCGCCAAATCCGTACATCATCAAGCCGAGCCCTTCCTTCCTCCCCCAGCTCCTCCTGACGCTGTTCGGTTACCTGGGCGGCTACAACGGGACGCACTCCTTCGAGTCTCCTGACAAGCCCTACGACGGCTACGATGGGATCATGGCCATGCGAGTGGTGAGTTCGAGGGTGTGCCGGCGCTGTGCAGAAGCCGTTTTCTGTGATTGACTATGGTATCCTCTGTCTCTGTGTCCATCTCTCTCCCTCTCATCATAAACATACCTCGCAAATATGCATAGGTATGTAGGCAGTTACTCCTGCTGAGACTATAATGTCTCCTACTTTACTGTTGATGAATGGCGTATGTTAGGCATCATTCTCCTGAAATACAATCATTCCACTCAACAATTGACTCATCTCTTCTCCGGGATTATAATTATATATATCGCGCGCATATTTTTTGTGCGCTGTATTTGATTATGTAAGCCTAGGAGGGGACTTATCTGGATGAGGGTGGGAGTGTTATATCACCTTACCATATCGGCCAATAACTGAATTCTTGTAATGCTTGTAATTCTTTAAAATTTAAGTGTTGTATTTATTCTTAAATATTATTATACCTAAGCTTTGTATATGCATTGTAATCCCGCACAGGGACTTATTAAGTAAGGGTGAGGATAACCTAAGTTACCTCATCCTTTTGAGATGTAATTTTACTTTTGTCTCAATAAACGTGTCAAAGTCAAAGTCAAAAAAGTCTCTCTCTCTCTCTCTCTCTCTCTCTCTCTCTCTCTCTCTCTCCTCTCTCTCTCTCTCTCTCTCTCTCTCTCTCTCTCTCTCTCTCTCTCTCTCTCTCTCTCTCTCTCTCTCTCTCTCTCTCTCTCTCTCTCTCTCTCTCTCTCTCTCTCTCTCTCTCTCTCTCTCTCTCTGTCTGTCTGTCTGTCTGTCTGTCTTAATGACGCGTTTTTTAAGAATAATACATGCGTTACTTGTACGCCAATGTATGAAGACACGTTCATTCTCTCTCTCTCCCTCGCAATGCTTGGCATGCCTTAGTTTATTAATGACAGAAAACTGAACATGTTCAGGGTAAACTTGCTAAAGATTCCCCATTTTATAAGAGAAAATGGAAATTTACAAGGGTAAACTTAGGAAAAGGGCAAAAACTTGAAGTAAGTTGTGTACGAAAAGAAAGACGCTAGGTGTTGTGAGAAAAGCCTACAGATTTATATATACATAAAAAAAAACACAGATAAGAAAAGTTATTTAGGGTACGTTATAAAGTTGCCTTATCTATTCAATCTTACATACGTCTTAAAGATTTGTTGTTACATGCTGATTTAGCATATTGGACATTTGTAAACAGTATCTTTCCTGCATGTTTTAACCACCTGCAGTCGAATATACACAATTATCTGATTTTTAAGTGTTTTTAAAACAGCTGATACTGGGTTTGATGCCTGGTACGTTTATTTCAAGTTCAAGGCAGCTTCTCACTAATGTTCATTCAATTCATCCATTTGTATCTATTTTTTATAGATCAGTTCATTTTTCCTCCTCTCAATTTTAGATAAGAAAGTGCCTTGCCATTGCCACTATATATATATACATACATACATACATACATATATATATATATATATATATATATATATATATATTCATTTACTTCATTTACCTCTTTCATATCTTGGCCTACAACCTGATCCAGTTCTTGTTCCTACTTCTTTCTTTACACTAAATACACGTCTAAATTTTCAACAACTGCTCATATCGGTTTTCGCTTCGTCGGATGAGGGATTTTATTACGCTCCTGTCGTGGTTGCGTTACATTTGATCTGCGCGCAAATGTCACAGTGTATTAACGCATTTTCCTGCCCTTTTCGTCAGGGATGTGCTTTGATGGCGCTGCGCTGGTGCCCCTGGGGTTCCACACCGTATGGACGCTCACCAGGTCTCTTCCGGCGTCGACCTTCGCTGCCGGCCTCATCACTTTCGGTAAGCGCATTTGTGTGTATTATATATATATATATATATATATATATATATATATATATATATATATGTATGTATATATATATATATATATATATTTTTTTTTTTTTTTTTTTTTTTTTATAAGGTTCATCATCTATTTATTTATTTGTTTGAAAAGGGAGCTAAGGAGTAATGGTACTTATTACTAAAAGTACAGTATATTTTGCAACCTTCGGTGGTTTGAACTATATTTACATATCACTTATTTGTTTATTCATTCATATATTCACTAATTATTGAGGTTACTGATTTATCAGTTAATATCACTTTACTTGATTATTCGTTCATCAATCTGTTCACATGCTCCCTTATTTTCTTGTCTATTGAATTATCTGTTCGTCTATATATCTTATTTTGTTTGTCACTTTGCTTATTGTTTATTGTTTTTACTAGTTGATTTCTCTACCTGTGTATCAGTTCACATTAGCCTCTATCAAGTCACTTTTCTATTTATAGATTCATATATTTATCTGCTTATTTTATCACCTATTCATTGGCCCATGGTTGCTTTTTTATCTGTTTATTTATCAATCAATTTATCCATTCACTCTTTTCTCGCAGAGGTTGGCACGATCACGCTTAGTAAGTTCATTTTGCTGGACCCGCTTCTGCTGTTCTTCATCTTGGCCTCTTTTCATGGCTTCACCTTCATGCACGAAGCAGATGACAGGTAAGGCATTTAGATATGGGGGTGGGGTAGAGAGAGAGAGAGAGAGAGAGAGAGAGAGAGCGAGAGAGAGAGAGAGAGAGAGAGAGAGAGAGAGAGAGAGAGAGAGAGAGAGAGAGAGAGGGGGGGGGGGGGGAGGAGGGAGGGGGAGGGGGGGGAGGGGAAAGAAAGAAAGAGAGAGAGAGAGAGAGAGAGAGAGAGAGAGAGAGAGAGAGAGAGAGAGAGAGAGAGAGAGAGAGAGAGAGAGAGAGAGAGAGAGAGAGAGAGAGAGAGAGAGAGAGCAATATGTAATAGGAAAAAGCACGTGCACATAGCAACCTACAGCAAGTTTTCAAATCAGTTTACTATCTGCACGATCCTAACGTTTGCCGCCTTTGCTCTTCCAGGTCCTTTTCGAAGCAGTGGTGGTTCGCTTACCTTTACACAGGCGCAATGCTGGGTTGCGTAATGAGTGTCAAGTTTGTGGGCCTCTTTATCGTTCTAGTTGTAGGCCTATACGTTGCCCTCGACCTCTGGCAGAAACTGGGAGAGCTCGACAGGCCTTTGGTATGGACTGCTTTATTATTATTATTATTATTATTATTATTAATATTATTATTATTGTTGTTGTTTATCTGACAAGGAAACAACTCAAGATATAAAAGAAAGTGCTTCATTCAAACAGAGCTTATTTTCTAGTTTTTCCATTCGCCTTCCAGCTAAGCGTGGCAGCACATTTTATGGCTCGTGTGTTGACGCTGATCCTGTTACCCGCTGCAATCTACGTCGGCGTTTTCTTTATCCATGATCAGCTGCTCTTTAAAGCGTGAGTAAAAATGACATCGTTGTTATAGCTGATTTTAGCTGAGTAATGTACTTTACAAAATAATGATATACCTTTTTTGCGCCCTTCATGAATTCAGAATAACTAACCACCTCATCACTGATTTCAGAAAAACTCTTCACGCGGCGGACGAAGGCACTTTCAGCCCAGGTTTCCAGATGAGGCTCAAGACGAATTTTCTGAACAACTTAACTCAGCCCAAAAGTAAGGATACTGATAATGATTATTTATACAGTGTATTAACAAATATATGTATAGAATAAGAGAACGCAGCCGCAAGTGACTTTATTTCGATGAGTAGGGCTCCATTTTTGTTTTTGTTTTTTTCGTGTGAATGTGTTAATGTTCCTCGATATACAGACAAAAGGTCAATCTTTTACTCATCCGTATTTCAATTTCCCCGTTTCAGAGCTGGCTTACGGCAACGTCATCACCCTCAAGAACACCAATTTGGCCGGCATCTACTTACACAGCCACAACTTTACTTACCCTCAACACAAAGTAGGGAAGAATAAGCAACAACTTACGGGCTTCGGAGCCAAAGACGTCAATAATTACTTGTGAGTATTGTTCAAGAGGCCTCTTGATTAAATGTAGAATTTGTATGTCCTGTATTACAATACAATTCAGACCGTCTCAGAAGTCTTTGATTGTGAAAAATGGCCTTCTAAGATGTTCTTAAAGTCAATTTTGTTTAAAACTATTATTCATCCAACCATCACCTCACCACTTACACGCCCTTTCATCGCCCCTTTCCTTGCCACTTCCACACTCTTTCCTCATTCACCTCCTCACCACTTACACGCCCTTTCCTTGCCACTTCCACACTCTTTCCTCATTCACCTCCTCACCACTTACACGCCCTTTCCTTGCCACTTCCACACTCTTTCCTCATTCACCTCATTCCACGCCCCTTTCTCAACCAGCAAGGTCCTGTTCCCCGAGGAGGACCCCGACCTGGGCGATACTTTCTACGATGGTTTGCCCGAGTACGTGATGAACGGCGACTGGGTGCGGCTCTACCACATGACCACGAATTCCTTGGTCTCCTGCGACAGGAACATGTCCCTCGTGACCAGGAAGCACTATCTTGCTTACGCTAAAGCTTACGTGAGTCGTTTTGGATTTTGATGTTTAGGGATTTGATGATTGTCTGTAAGAGTTTCTCTGCTCGCTCGCTGCTCTCGCTCTGTCTCTGTCTTTCTGTCTGCCTGCCTGTCTGTCTGTCTGTCTGTCTGTCTGTCTGTCTGTATGTATGTATGTATGTATGTCTCTGTCTCTGTCTCTGTCTCTGTCTCTGTCTCTGTCTCTGTCTCTGTCTCTGTCTCTGTCTCTGTCTCTGTCTCTGTCTCTCTCTCTCTCTCTCTCTCTCTCTCTCTCTCTCTCTCTCTCTCTCTCTCTCTCTCTCTCTTTCTTTCTATTACACTTCGCTTACAAAAAAGGAGAAAATGGCACATTCCTAACTCCTACCCAAAGATAAGTGAATAAAAAAGAAAAACTAATATTTTCTTCCCGATATTTTTAACCATTTTTGTTATTTCAGAATCTAACTGACCCTGCCCTAGCTGCTAAGATTAACAGAGCTTTTGATGAAAATCCTGAAGCAACCGTCTCTAATCCTAATGTAAGTCCTTTTGTAGGTAAAATATATATTGTTTTGTTTTTACTTACACTGACAGATGTGTATGCATACTCATGAACACATTTACGTAGAATACACATGGAAATAATGGGAATGATACAAAATGAATGGACGGCGACGACTGTGATGTAATTTATAGTTATATATTATTATTATTATTTTTGGGTAATTGTTATTTCTATTTTTATAATTATAATTATTATTACTGTTATTATCATTAGTACCATCAACATCATCATCAGTATTAATATCTTTATTTTTTGTTATTATCATTATCATTGCCGTTATCATCACGATCATCATTGTCATCATCACCATCACTATAACCACCATCATCACCATTTTCATTGATATCTAAATTATGTTACCATCATTATTATCCATAATAGCAGAAGTAGTAGAAGTATGATCTGTCTCATCAACATCCCCATTTCAGCAACACTAAAACCAATAACAATAACTAACCAGCCAAAACCACGGTACAACTTATAATACCCCCCCCCCCTCTCCGCCTTCACTGAAACTAACAGAGATATACACTAAGACATTCCCTATACACCCAGATCACTATGTGGCAGCTCTGGTCCGTACACATCGTCGGGGGCAAGCCAGGGGAGTACGTGAAAGCGCTCGACTCAAGGGTCAAGTTCGTCTGCATCCCACTGACCTGTGCCCTCACATGGACTCGCGAGAAGCTGCCTTTGAAGTGGTATGTAGTGAGGATGTCCGAGGTCGATAATTGTTATCATTATTATAATGATTACTGGTATTATTAATCTTGTCATCATTATTATTATTACTATTATCATTATTATTATTATCATTATTATTGTTATTATCATTATTATTATTATTATTATTTTCATTATTATTATCGCTATTATCATAATTATCATTATTTTTATCGCTATTATCATTGTTATTATTATTATTATTATTATTATTATTATTATTTCTATGTTATTATTTGTCATCATTATTAACATTACTACTATTATTGTAATTAATAATAATGATAATAAGAGTAATGATAATGATAATTAGTAGCAGTAGTAGTAGTAGTAGTAGTAAAAGTATCATCATAATTATCATTGTCATTATAAGCATTATTATTATTATTACATTACCATTATTGTCACCATTTTTGTTATTATTATTATTATTATTATTGTTATTATTATTATCATTATCATTATTATTATTATTATTATTATTATTATTATTATTATTATTATTATTATCAATAGTAATAGTAGTATCATTATCATTATTCCTAATATTATTGTTATTTTTGTTATTATTGTCATCATTATCATTAGCATCATCAATATCATTATTGGCGTTGTTAATATTATCATTATTATCATCATTATTGTTATAATTATAATGATTATTATTGCCAGTAATAGTAGTAGAAGTCGTTATTGTTGGATTATTATTATTACTATTATTATTATCCTCACCATCATCATCATCATCATTACTATCATTAGTAGTTGTACCAGCAATAGTAATATTAGTAGTATCACTATCATTATTATTATCATTTAGAGGTAAAGGGTGTGTGTTTGGGTGACACGAGGATTTTGATGGTTCATGTTGACCGAAGATTAAGAGAGAGAACAGTTATTGTTTTTGTTATTATTATTATTATTATTATTATTATTATTATTATTATTATTATTATTATTACTACTACTACTACTACTACTACTACTAC